AGCACCTGACTGGCAAGGTCCTAAATTCAATTCCCACTACTAAAAAAAAAAAAAAAATTCAACTGTTACCTGGGAATGCCTGATATAACCCATGAAATAATAAGACAGCACTAGTTTCTTGGTTTTTTTTTTTTAAACACTGGTAGCAGGGTGGCTCTAAATTTCCTAAAAATTCTTAAATACAAAGCCAGGATTTCAAAGCAACTGACCCCACAGTTCTCAAGTTCCCTATGCTTTAGAGACCCACTGAGATGGAAAATTGGAAAAAGGAGAGATCCAACAGGGAGAGAAGAGCCAACAGAACTAGCCTATGCCAAGCTGGGCCAAGGAGGATGGATTCTCTCATTACTTCTCCAGCAGTAGGCACTGCTATGGCGAATATATTTTTTGTCCCTAGATTACTTTCAATCTCATTTTTATTCCTCAGCTCTTTGCCATGGGAATTATGAAACACCTTGCAGTTTCAGCTTGATCTTCCTCTTTATCTACCTATGATTTGAGCCAGCACTTGGGAAGCTGAGGCAAGAGGATCACTGTGAATTCAAGGCCAGCCTAAACTGATGGAAAAACAAAAAAATAAATATATGCCAAGGCACCCACAGCTTAATACCACAAAGGCTTGGAGATATATATATATATATATATACATACACATATATAGTGTTCAAGCTATGCCAAAGTCACAAGATTGCTTCAGGTCATCTTTTTACCTCTTCCCAACAGAGAAATTTTCCAGAATATCAGAGGCCAATTGCATAACAACATAAAGGACTCCTGATTTCGCATTCCAAAAGAGACATCCAGGAGGGAAATGAATCAGTCTGACAGAACAACAAGCATCAGTTTATGTAAACTCAAGAGTGGTGGTCTGGAGTTCATGGGTGATTCCCCCACCCCCTCCCTACAGTACAGAGAACTTTGGTTCACTGATTACCAGTTCTCTGAAAGTCAATGAAAACTCTTCTGGTAGCCCTGGCAGCAGGACATAATTAAAGAAAGAAAAGGAGGCAAGCAACTCCCTAGCTAACACCTGCTGAGAGCTTACTACTTGCTAGGCACATGTTTAATTCATTTAATTCTACATAACAATACTGCTATTCCCTCTAAAAGACTGAGATCAGTAAAACAGGGATCACTATGGTAGAACAGTAGCAGGACAGAAGACGGCTGAAACAACAAAATAAATCTCGCGAGCAATGATGTATTACTCCCGGGAGTTTATTAACCTTCACATTTCAGCAGTCCTGTTGTGAAACTAAAAAAACCACAAAAATATTTTCATACAATGGAAAATTGCTGCCAAGAAGAAAAAAAATTAAACCCTCTAGCTTCATCTTCTTTTTTCTTTTTGAGCCAGCGACTTGATATGTAGTTCAGTATGGCTTAGAAGTCACTGTGTAGGGGCTGGAGATTTAGCTCAGCGGCATAAGCGCCTGCCTTGCAAGCAGGCAGTCATGAGTTCGATCCCTGGTACCGATAAAAACAAAAAAGACAAAAAAAAGAAGTCACTGTGTAGCTCAGGCTGGCCTTGAACTGAAGGCCATCCTCCTGCCTCAGCTTCCCCAGTGCTAGGATTACAGGAAGGTGGCCCTACACCTGGCTCCACTTGGTTTTTTTTTTTTTTTTTGGTACTGGGGATCGAATTCATGACCTCACGCTTGCCAGGCAGGTGCTTACACCACTGAGCTAAATCCCTGGCCGCACTTGCTCTTAAATCAACTTAAAGTGACTAACTTTAGAGATCACATAGTTAAAATACATTTACCCCAACCAGCTGCTTGGGTTACTTCTCAAAAAAATTAAGGTTGCTTTTAGCCAGGTGTAGCGGGGCACACCTATAATTCCACTACTCAGGAGGCTGAGGCAGGAGGAGGTTTACCAGGAGTTCAAGGCCAGCCTCAATTACAGAGTAAGACCCTATTTTGAAAAAAAAAAAAAAAAAACAGGTGTATGTGGGGGGGGGGTTGGTGTTTGCTTTTGCTGAGAACACCAGTTCTTACCTTGGGCCTACAGATACCTGATAGATGACTAAATTGAGATAAAAGGCATGGCGTCTCTCTTTATATTGTGTCTGTCCCTTTTGCTGTCTTAACTCTTTTTTTTTTCTTTTTTTTAAATCGGTACCAGGGATCAAACTCAGGACCGCCTGCTTTCAAGGCAGGTGCTTATGCCGCTGAGCTAAATCCCCAGCCCCCATGCTGTCTTAACTCCTGAGTCAGATTTTACTTAGCTCTGTAGATAAACAGGTTGATCATTTAAGAAATATTTTGAGTCAGGGTCAGTGGCACATGCCTGTAATCTCAGTATCTCTGGGAAGCTAAGGCAGTAGTACAAGCTCAACCAAGACAATTTAGGAGATCCTGCTCAAAATAAATTTTAAAGCAGCAGCAAGATATATCATGTACAGATAAAATTCCCTGATGTTATCATTATGTACATCTAAAATGTACCAATAAAAAATTTTTTATAAAAAGGTCTGCAGATTTACCTTAATGTGAAAGTTGGCTTTCATCTCCCGTGACACACACACACACAGAAAACAATATTTTGTCTAAGACTACAATATCACATCAATTTGTCCACTGAAGCTGGTGTGTTTTTTCTACCCCACTTTTACTTTTTTAGCAGGTCAATCACTAACAATCTTTCAGTCCAATTATGTCAAAACATTTATACAAAATGATATCAACTCTAAGAGTAACTTCTGAGTAAAACTGACTGCCCATTAGCCCATTAAAATACAAAGGCAGGATGTTCTAGGACTAGCTAAGAATTGAATATCAGGAGGTCCATGTCCATCATGAAAAAAACCCATCTTTTGGAACCACACTCCTGGCCAAAGTAAATTACCTGACTTTAGCCCACCCCAGAAAACCAACACAAATCTCCTATTCTCTGTTTTGTGAGTAGCAGTTTGGTCACTCTCTGAACCTCTCTCAACCAACTGCTCATTCTCTTTAACCAAAGCCCTGGTTTGGCTGAGGCCCCTTTCCCCCCCTCCTCCTAATAAAGCTTTCTGTGCAGGAGTTGTACAATACTTGATCCAGCCTTGTTTTTATTATCTGTGAGCAAAATCTCACCGTGTTCGGGTGGGGGTTTAGCTCAGGGGCCTAAGTGCCTGCTTGGCAAGCTCAAGGTCTTAAGTGTGATCCCCGGTACCAAAAATCTCATCATCTGGCATCACCAGAAATTAGATGATATGGTCAAATTCACAAAGCTGTGTATGGCAGGGCTGAGTTACACAGTCATTATTTCACCCTTCCTCTTAACAGCTACACTATATTGCATTGCCTCTGCACAGACTAAGAATAGGTAACATTAGTTGGTGTGATGGCATGGCATCCACCTGTAATCCTAGCCCTCAGAAGGCTGAGGCAGTGATCACAAGTTTGAGGACAGCCTACTACTAGTGCGAACCGTTTCAACAGAACAAAAAAGAACAAACAAAAATAAGCAATGTTCCATAGAAACTAAAAAAGAACAGAAAGAAGAGTATAAAGGGAGATAGATATCTGTTTCTTCTACCTTGAGTTCAAACCGGATTCAGATAATAGGAGGTTGCAAAAGGAACATCTAATAGATGTCAGTCTGAAATCTACTGGGACAAGGAGAAGCTGAAGGAAGGACAGAACAGAATATTGAGTGCAATTATTAAACCAAAATGAGCCAGATGTGGTGGTGCACGCCTGTTAATTCCAGCACTTCGGAGTGTGAGGGAGGAGGGTAGCTTTGAGTTCGAGGTCACTCTGGGCTACATAGTGAGTTCAAGGCCAGGCGGAAATAAACAGTAGTTTCAACCATCCCTCAACCCTAAATTAGTAAATGAACTGCCAATGCACAGGATTTCACCACCAAACATCTCTTTAGAATCTAGCCCTGTTTAGTAATGACCAAGGCGACAGCACCGAAGCTGAAGACCCATGGAAGGCATCCAAGGTTCTTAGGAGCGGAGAATTAACATTCGATAAGAGTACAAAGAAACCTGTAGGTGGCAACATCGACATCACTTGCACACACAAAATTCTCTGAAAACGAGAGCCACAGTTAGGAAGCCAACTAACTAGGAAATCCTCCCTAATGTCACCAGACCCTAGGGTCTACCCCCCATCTGCCTTGCCCATTCTCCTGGCTGAGTCTGCATCTTCAGCAACCGGCTGGGCCTGGTATATTCAAAAGGCATTATATGTGCATTTATTTACTGTCTGAGCAAGTGAGTGAATTCAACAACCGTAGTCTGCTTCCACTCACGTCACAGTGGGCAACTTAAGAGGGCAGCAAGCAACCACACTAAGATCCTGAAATAGACGCAAAATAAGGTCCTCAGGCAGTCTCTGCGCGTTCTAGAAGCACACACGTTTTATACTCCGCACTTCCCCAGCCAGCCCGAGCTTTGCAGTTCGGCTGCCGACAGTGTACGCACGCTCGACCCACACTCATTTCACACAAATCCTGACTGAGAAGCTCGCAAAAGGAGTCCGCGACGTGATTTCACAGTCCGCTAGTACCCTGGGATCTGTAGTCCCCGGCCCAACCAGGACCTGGAGCTTCACAAAGCCATCGCTAACGGCTCTTGTTCCGCGCCCAGGCCGAAAGCAGCCGCGGTAGGTCAGGATCACCCCCACGTACGGGAGTTGGGACAAGGTGAGCGGCAGTTGACTGAAGGGGGTCCTACAGAGCAGGCTCTAGCTGGGCAGCGCCAACCATCAACCAGATGGCAGTGGATGGCGATGGATTCGCAAGACGCCACTCACCATCATTTTGGCAACTTCCTCAGTGGCCCGCTACTCCTCTGTTCTTTGTGTTCCGGCCGCCCAGATGGCCCACAATCCTCTGCGCCAAAGCAGTCCCGAGAAGCCTTGCAGTTAGATGAGAAGAGGAAGGGGCTAGACGCTTCCGCCACTCTATGGTTCGCTACCATAGAGTTGGTGCGGCTAGAAGGGCCAAAGGCTGGGCCTCCGGGGCGCTCTAGAGCCAGGCACTGTTTATGGAGGCTGGATTACGGGTGTGTAGCTTTCTCTTTGACAATGTAGCATGTTTGCTCAATTCCCTTCTCCTCTTGGACACCAGACCAAGACATACAATAAACTCATTTATTGAACGCTGACCGTGGGATAAGCTTATGCTAAGCATCTTATGTGAGTGATCTCATTTAACTCTTAACAACCCTAGTGCACTGGTACCGTTTTTGTGCCCACATTACAGATTACGCTGAGAGGTTAAGAAAGGTGTTCACAGTCACAGATGCACAGCAAGTGGGAGCGAAGCGAGCGTGGGAAACTGGCTCCAAAGCCAGCTGTCTGGCTGTGCGCCGATCAGCGCCTCCTCACAGGTGGGGTGCATCAGCCCATTGCCTCAGAATTTGATAACTGTGAGCGCGCAATTGGTGATGAAACTGGGCCGAGGACCACCACTTGGGCGCTAAACGAATGCCTTCCCCCAGGAGGAATTGGGGAGAAGGAGGGAACCCCTGGGAGAAGGAAAGTGGTTACTGAGCGAAGCTGTCACAAGCAAGAGCAGCAGACCAGGACTTTGCGCAGCTGAAGAGCTCCCTAAAGCCGCCCACCCCGTTACCCAGCCTCCTCGGCCCGCCCACTGCCAACCTGGTCTTGGAGAGTTGAAGCTATACTGACAAACGGGGCGGGGCAGGGGTGAGGGCTAGCAGTTGCTGTTAAGAGTTTAGGCCAACCAGCCATTGGCCCCACTTCTCTTGACCAATAGAAAGTGGGCTATGGCGCAGAGGCGGAAAATAAAGCTTCATGAGCAGGCGTCAGAACCAATAAGCAATGGGCCTCGTTCTCGTCCGTCAACCGGCGAAGAGAGCGGGTCTGGGGGCGGGAGGCCGGAGCAGCTGTCAAGCTAAAGTCCGGAGAGCTACGCGCGGCTGGACAGAAGAAAGCGCGGCGCCGGACCGGGCTCTGGAAATGGTCCCTGGCGCCGCGGGCTGGTGGTTTCTGGTGCTCTGGCTGCCCGCGTGCGTCGCGGCCCACGGTGAGCGACAAGGGCGGGGCTGCGCTGCGGGGCGGGGCTGGTCGTCCGGCTTGCGCACGTCTCGGGCCGGGTGTTACGGGTCACCTTGGGGACCCAGCGAATTAGGAGCCGAGCAGGTCTAGGGACAGGCGGCCGGAGCGAGTGGGTGCTGGCCCCTAGGGACATTGAGCCGAGTGCAGCCTAACTCTAGGTTCTGAGTCCTCAGCTCCCCAGGTCGAGGCAAGTCCCACCAACCCCCCTCAACTAAAACCAACCCAGGTGATCTGAGACGTAACCAGGAGACACAGGCACAACTGGAAATACAAGCCAGCGAAACATGTGAGCATTCGCATGCATATACAGCAAAATTCCTACACGTGGGGTCACATGCAGAAGCATCCATGTACACAATTCGCATGCGTCTTCTCAAGGATATACACCTACACACATATATGAACATGTACATATATACTTGCAATCTACACACACGTAAGGGTATGTAAAGGTCAAGCAAAGGTGTTGTGGGGAGGGGGTTGTTTTAATATCAGTCTGATAAGGCTTCCTGGGGGATGCGTCTGAATCTGATGGACTCCTCATTCCCAGAACAAAAGGCCATATATAGCCCACTGCCAAGCCCATGGAGCTCTGCCTGGTGGCTGTGACTTGGGCAAGGACAGCTGGCTCATAGTGCTAAGTTGCCTAATGGACCTGTGGCCACAGCTTCTTTGAGCATTTGTCAGTCTTAGAACTAAGAAATCTGGGGACTCAATCCAGATAAAACATTAAACTCTTGACACTGAAGAAATTCCTATATTCCCCAAAAAACTGGTGGTTCTGGCAGTTCTCTTGCTAATGGCAGTGGAGCATGATGTAGTTGTTCTTTCACTGTGACCTTTACTGAGCACCCACTATAATCCAGCAATTGTGCTAGGCATTGGGGATTCAGCATTGAATTTATGCAAATTTATAATCCTTGCCCTATTGGAGAGGCAGACAGTAAGAATTATGGATATTGTACCTTGGTTTTTTTTATTTGGAGGATGAACCTTAGGGAACAAGAGTGGAGGTAGAGAGCTAAGGCAAGAGGATTGCTTAAATCCAGGAGTTGGAAACTAGCCCGGGCAACATAGCAAGGCTCAAAAGAATAAAGAAGTGGAGGCAGATAGACCTGTTAACCAGCTGCATTAGCCAGGCATGGTGGCACACAACTGAAATCCCAGCACTCGGAAGTGTACTAGCACTGAGACAGGAGAACCACTGCGTCAACCTAGACTACAAAGTGAGTTCATGTCCGGTCTAAACTGCATAGTGAAAACCTTTCAAAAAGAGGAAGAGGAGGAGCAAGAGGGGGAGGAGGAGGAGAGGAGGAAGCAGCTGGAATAATCAAGCTAAGAGATGATAGTTACTGAGCTAGGGGAATAGGGGGGAATAGTAGTGGATCAGAGTCAACCTTAAGTTTCAGTGAGAATCTTCTTGTGCCCAGGGCACTCCACCTGCATCTTGAAATTCTCAGGTGCACTTCAGAGCAAAGACAGATTAAAGCTCTCAATCTTCTTGATTCACCTGTTGTAGCAGCAGCAGCAACAGCAGCAACAAATTTAATTCTCTGGGGTTACCAATTCCATCCACATGAGCTCCCCAGGAGAAAAACTATCCTGCCTGCCCAGGGCTAATACAGCTAAAATTGGGCCTCTAGACCCAGATTATAGCCAGAAAAGTTGAAGACATGGAACCTATCATTTGAACTCAAACCACATTGTTCCTTGGGGCTTTTTATCTGTTCTTTTTCCTTCAGGCTTACGCATCCATGATTATTTGTACTTCCAAGTGTTGAGTCCTGGGGACATTCGATACATCTTCACAGCCACACCTGCCAAGGACTTTGGTGGTATCTTTGTAAGTTCAGCAACACCCGTGATCTCTGATTTTCAGCCTCCCCACTCCTTTACTGAGCTATGATGCCCCTCTAATCCCCTGAGTGCTGAGACAGGGAAAGAATCAGAATCTAGCAGTGTCCCACGAGTGGGAATTCAAGAGAGAAAACACTTGCAACTACACCACTAATCACATTTAGCTCTGGGCACCATGGAGACACGAGCTGTCTTCTTTGGGAGCATAAAATAATGACAAAACTTACCTGGCGTGGTGGTGCATGCCTGCAGTCCCAGCATTTTGGAAGCTGAGGCAGGACTACCATGAGTTCAAGGCCAGTCTGGGATACATAGTGAGTTCAAAACCAACCTGGACACAGTGAGATCTTAAAAAAAAAAAAAAAAAAAAAAAAAAAAAAAAAAATGGGGCTGGGGACTTAGCTCAGCGGCATAAGCACCTGCCTTGCAAGCAGGCAGTCATGAGTTTGATCTCGGTACCGATAAAAAAGAAAAAAAAAGTGTTAAAAAAAAAAGCAAGGAAAAACAGGGCACAGCTTTCTCTGCCAGCTCTACCTCTGGGTACCTATTTCCCTTCCCTATGTCTATAATCAGCTTCCCTATTTATTTCACAGGAATGCAGAGTGAGCTTGGACAACTATATAGGCCTTTGTAAGAATTAAGTAAAAATGTTCAGGTGCCCAGAAACACAGAAACCACTCCACATTTCCTGCACCCTTTGTGATACAGTGCTAGTGAGATGAGATTGTCTGCCTGGTCTCAAAGCAGATGTGTCTCACTTGTCCAAATGTCTAAACATTTCAGCACACGAGGTATGAACAGATTCACCTTGTCCCTGCTGAACCTCCAGAGGCCTGTGGGGAACTCAGCAACGGTTTCTTCATTCAGGACCAAATCGCTCTGGTGGAGAGGGGGTAAGGAGTGGACAAGCATAAGGCAGATTCTGAGACCATGGCTCATGGGGGTGCTGTGAAGTAGCTGCTTTAAGGGTCTTTAAATGCCTTAAGATTATCCGTGCTTTGGGCTATGTAGTTAGGAACCTTTGTAACAAGTTCTTCATGGTGCTTTCATCCTTTTAGGGTTGTGGGATGGGAAAGGAGTAACCAGGACCTTTTCTTTTGGTCTCATTGCCACCTTTCAGGGGATGCTCTTTCCTCTCTAAAACCCGAGTGGTACAAGAGCACGGTGGGCGGGCCGTGATCATCTCTGACAATGCAGTGGACAATGACAGCTTCTATGTAGAAATGATCCAGGACAGTACCCAGCGCACAGCTGACATTCCTGCTCTCTTCCTGCTCGGCCGAGATGGGTGAGGGCTCTTGTCTCTGGCTTGTCAGTACCAAGTGGGATGTCATGACTGGAAGGTAATGGGTAATTACCATTTCCAAGCCACAAGTTTGTCTTGGGGTAACCTAGTTGAAACACAAAAAAAGTTCTTAGGCTCTGGAACTCCCAAGGGGAAACAGTGGGGCAGCTTTGAGTGCCAAGAAAGTGATCATCACCTCTTCATGCCCTACCAGCTACATGATCCGTCGCTCTCTGGAACAGCATGGGCTGCCATGGGCCATCATTTCCATCCCAGTCAATGTCACCAGCATCCCCACCTTTGAGCTGCTACAACCACCCTGGACCTTCTGGTAGAACTGGTTCCACATTCCAGCCTTAAGTGACTCTGGACTGGGAAGGAGAAACCCAGAAATTCTGCTATTTGGAATCTGGGGAGAGCATCTGGAAACAAGTGGAACCAAGCAGAGGGAAGAAAGCCGAAGCACTGGCTCTCCCTTCACCAAGGCTCCCAAGGATATTTTGTGCTACAGGAAGCTGCAAGAATCAGACTCCAGGGCTTCTGGCAGGAATCTAGAACAAAAGGAGCTAGAGGCAGGCCACCTGAGAACGCACCTGTGACCTGTGACATTCCACCTGGTTCAACCTACCCAATCCACGGTCTCCCCACAATGACCTTCACAGGAATTGCTGGAGAAGTTTAAGTAATTGGTGTCTGGGGACTCAATAAACCCTCACTAACTTTATAGCAATAAAGCTTCTCATCAGGGTTCTGCCTCCTAGAATAAGGACACACAGAGTTGAGGTTTCCAGACTTACTCTTCTGGTCTCAAACAATCATTTTGAGGAAAGGTAGTTGAAGTCCATTGAATAAAATCATTCCCGAGATCCTTTAGGACCAATGCTCAGACTGTTAGTCTTGGATCCCCATGTAGTTCCTTGTTGAAGAGATCAGGAAGCCCCAGAAAGCTGTAGTTCAGCTCCTTGAGGAGATGAATCATCTTGTAGCCTAGCTCCTAGGATCAAAACCAGGCTTTGGAGGACGTTTATTCTGATTTTAGGAACACCTGCACAGAGCTGAGAGATGAACATAGCTGGGGAAACTAGCTCCCATCTCCTGCCATCACATCTAACTTGTGTCCCTCTGTACCAACCCGTATGACTGCTGGAAGCCCTGTTCAGCCATTCTCTACAAAACAAACTTACAAAGGCCTGTCGCCACTCATACTTTATTGAGGAAGTGGGCAGGTATAGCAGAGAGGGCGCTGACTGCTGTGAAGGAACAAAGACCCAGCAAGCAAGGGAGCCAGATGGTCAGGTCCCACGTGGCTCCATGGCCAGGGAAGGGTCTGAAGGGGGTACCTGTTTTCCCTGGGATCACTAAGAAAGATGATGGGATGGCCCCTCAAGGAAGGTAGGCAGGAAGAAACTGGGTTGTGATGCTTGTGATGCCCATAGCACCCAACCCAGGAATGAGAAATGCTTATCTGGGGGAAGGAAGGGACAGTCATGGCTAACTGCCAAGTATCTAACCTAGCTCCTTTAGGTTTCTGGAAGACTTCAATGTTCCCTGTGGAAACTCTAAAGATGGAGAGCCCTTCACTGGCCCATGTTAACAGGTCTCGGAAGACTCGAACATCCTAAACCAAGGAACACAGGCCTGTCATCCTACATGTCACAGCCAGACTGCTAGAACTTTCAGTAGGAAGAAGGTGTAAGAAAGGGCAATGAGCCCTTCCTGAGGAAGGCAAAGGCCTCTTCCATACCCCATGGGGCCTGCTACTGTGCCAGGGCCTAGGAGTCAAGGCACGAGGTACAGAGATTCTGGTATCTAGGGAAGGGGTTAATCTCCACTTCTCCTGATGTCCAAAGTGTGAGAACTGGACAGGAGGGGAAATGTCCCTGGTCTAGTGTTCCCTGGCAGCCAGCCTGAAGGAAGGTGCTCTGGAGGCCCAGATCCTCCTTTCTGCCTGTATCCTCTGGCTCATCCTATCAGCTACAGCTGTGGCAGGTGTGAGATAGGGAAGCATCACACCTGCCATTCCCACTTCAATGATACTGGTGTGCTATGAGATATGCCACTGTTACCCCTCAAAATAAGCCAATAATCAGATGAGGGGAGAAGCCTCTGGTGGACAGGTGAGTGTGGACTAAGAAACACTGGTAGGCCCAGAGCCTGGTTCCAACCCCCTCACACCTACATGGAGTAAACTCAAGGGAGGTCAGTTCTGGAAGGCTCGGTGATGGCACAGGGCCGGAGCAACTCAGCAGCAGTGCTTAGGGCCTAGGATGCAGCCCTCGTCTCACGCTCTGGCAGAGTGCTGGAAGGGGGAAAGCAGGTAATGGGGAGTTTCTTCCAAGCCTCTTCTCTGGGGGAAAGGCTCCTCTTCTGGCAGGGTCTGGGGCAGGGCCCCTTCCAGGGAGGGCAACCTCACACATCAGTCATCTCATCCCCTAGCTCTGCATCTTCTGGCTCTCCTTCCTCCTCCTCGTCTTCCTCCTCCTCTGAGGTCACATTGGGTTCATCAGCCTCTGCCAAGCATTTGGGGCAGGAACAGACAAACAGATAGTTCTCCCTGCAGGTGGGAGGATGATGAGGGTGAAAAGTCAGGCAGCCACAGGATGAAAGGCCCCTGAGCCCAGCTGCCCAACCATGTCCCCAGGTGGCACCTGAGGATCTTATGGCGGCTGTGGCGGCTGCGTTCCCGCTGACAGCAGTCTAGGTAGCTGATACAGATTTCCTGTAGGACAGAGGAGAGACAGAGGTCTCATATTCGGACAGACTGGATTAGAGTAACTAGATGATGTACCTTCCCTTAGACAGGCGAAGGCTCCACCAACAACTGCCCTGTCTCCAATCACAGTCCATGTCCTGGGAGCCAGGCCTGAGCTGCCCTTCAGTGGAGGACAGGCTACCCCAATTCACCTCCCATGGCTTCAGCAGGCAGGCACTGAAGTTTCAACAACCAGCATCAGAGACAGAAGGGAGGCTCCAGGTGGCTTTGGGGCATGGTGAAAGCCAGTCAGTGGCCAAGGTCTGTAGCTAGGCTCAGAGGTTACCCTGGTGTGATTCTACGTGCTCTGTATACTGCATTCATAGCCAGGACACCCAAACCACACCAGCTCCCCCCAGACCAAGCCACAAAGAGCTACCTCCCACTTTCTTAGAATCTGCAGATCTGTTGATCAATAGGTGGCTGGGGACAGGAATCTGGGCACACAGCTGTCCCTCAAACACTGCTCTGAAGCTTTCTGGAGTTTTTTGAAGCAGGGTGGGATTAGAATATACCTAAGGGCAAACACTCAGGACCTAAGGAATGTGAGAAGTCTCCAAGATCCTGACCTTAAGAGGCTCTAGCCACCACTGTTCCTAATCCCTGGAGAGAACTTACCAGGCCCACTGTCTACAACAACCCTTGCAGCCCTAGCCCACCTCACCTCTCCTGGGCTAATATCCTCCAGGGCGGTGACATGCAAAAGGAAGTTGTTTTCTGGGAAGGAGGTCTCTGCATTGGGGACACAGCTGTGGTTACCTAGGTCATAAGAGGCAGGTAAAGAATATTATTAACTAATAATAGTATTAATTATTGTTATCATCATCATCTCAACTCTGCAGAGCACTGTGAGTTCCTTCTTTTCCTGTTCTCAGAATCCTGGCAGGGCTGAGTAGGTATCAGACCCCAGGTTTCCTGCCTCCCCATCCAGTGCTCTTTTCTGAAGACCGCAGAACACAGGCATAAAAGCACTCACACATCACTGCCCACTCCAACCTCTCAAGATTGGCCATTCATTCTGAGTTATGTTCTCATTGTCTCATTAAGAACAGATAGGGCTCTGAAGAGTTGCCCATATTATACAACCCAATTCAATCCTGTCTGCTACTAGATGTAAGGTAATGGCTAACTCGGGCCCTCTGAGAACCCTCCCTGGAGCCTGGCAGAAAGGGAAATACATGAGAAAACCAAGGGGCAAGTGCTGAGATCTGGTAAAGGCAGTTGGTAGAGCTAACTCTGGCCCTCCCAGTCAAGTGCTGACGAGACTGGCCTTCTCACCCGTACTCCCTCTCCCCAGTACCCTCAGGCCTCTTGGACTCTCTGAATGCTCCCTTAACACACCCCACTGGACAGTGATGCCGCAAAGCCCAAATTTTCCTTTGTGAGACATCAATCTCTGGTCTTAGCCAGGGCCTGGCACATTGTTTCATATGTAAGCATCTATTAAAGCTGAGCAGGTGACTGGGGGTATAGCTCAGTTGCAGAGCACTTACATAGCATATGTCTGGCTCTGGACCAAACATCCCTAGCACCATAAAAAAAAAAAAAGTAAAAGCAATTGAATAAATTAAATGAAATTAAATGGAGGAAAAAAAATGAAGCGAAGTCACCTAAGGGAATCCCCAAAGAAACTCAGGTCTAATCCCACACCCAGATTCAATCCAGCCAGCCTAGAAGGGCCACCTAAGAAAACTGAAAAAAGCCTCATGGCTATGAGGCTACCCAGCAAGGGTCCAGTCTACCCCCACCCCTACCCAGTGCCACGACTCACAACAGCTCTGAAGCACGAAGAGGCCAGACCCTTCACAGTTAAGGAACTCGCCGGTAGCTATAAAATAGTAACATGCAGACATTGTTCCACCCATATTATATTATAGGTAGAAGGAAACTAGGCTGGTGAGGAAAAACACCAGCTCCACTGTCCTGCCACCCCACCACACTAACATACTCAGGCCCTACCACTTTACCGAAACTTGCTTCTCTGAAGCACAAGCTTGCTCTTCTGTCTGCAACATCACCCTATTTGTCCGGCACTCCCCCTCCTCCCAGGATGGAGCCTCTGGGTGGATCTCTGGGCCATTTCTCAAGCATGTGTCCTGTGGACAGATCTGAAGCTGCCCATAGGTACAAAGGGATGACTTTCCCCACCATTAACTCAGAGCTTCCTGAGAATGACTGTGTCCACCTTTTGACTAAGGGTGTCTCCAAAGTTGGGCAAGGCTATGACCCCCTCTCACCAACCTGCCTCGATGTCCTTGTACAGCTGGTCAATGAAGGCATCCAGCTGCTCGCGGTCCTGAGGCTTCAGCTCTAGAGCATCACAGGCATGGACCCACTGGCTCAAGGAGCTGGGGTTCCCAGGCGGCCCATGTTTGGAAAGAAGAAGCCTCAAATGACAGGGCAAATTAAGCCCAGGCAGAAGGGGCTCCCACCACACCCCGATTCTTTCTTCACGGTGGGGCCCCCAATTCCCCAACAGATCAAAGCTCTTAGGAACAAACTCTTCTCCACTGGACTCCCCCTACCATATCCAGTTCAGCACTCTGGCCAAAATCACACCCAGCCCCACCCAAGGCTTGAAAGAAGGTGTGCCCACCTTCCTCAGTCAACCTCCCAACTGAACCCTGAGGGACAATCTAATAGCTCTGGAACATTCTCTCCTAACCTGGTCCCAATTCCTTGTCCGTTGGTCCCAACAAGGGCAAAGAGAGACCTGAATCCATCTGGAGTGAACCACTGTGGGAGAGAAAGAGAAGAGCTGAGCACTGGGATTCTAATCACTTGCTTTTCTTTCTGCTATGGCTCTGTTCAGGAAAACGTGTAAGCTTCTGCCACATCCCAACTCCAAAAAACCAAGCCAGCGTTGGCTCTGCTGTCCCAGGAGAAACCCAGTTGCTCCTGGGGAGTGAGGTAACCAGGAGGTGGTGGCCCCAATCTCCCCACACTCACCTGGCTGAGTGCTTCCTCATAGAGAGCCTCTGTGAAGAGTCTCCGCAGAAGTTCTAGTTCACCCTGGTGAAGGGAAGTAGGGAAAGACCTGCATCCCTGGACATCCAGGTAGGACCAGAATATCAGGTGAGGGAAGGAAAAAGGGCCTGCTGTGCAGACTGAGCTTTTCCTGGAGCCAAAAAAAGGCCTCAGAGTCCTTATCTCAAAAGAGCTTTGGCAGTCTGCTGACCTTCAACCCAGGGTAATGAACCTAAACTTTCTTGTTTTCTAGCATTTGTACCAGTGAGGCTGATGCAGGTTGGCTTAGGACATTTGTTTTCACTACCTTTGTTATCCTCCTGACTTGGCCTCAAAACCAACTAAGCTCTTCCTTATTTTCCTCTTGAATTCAGCACAGGTATGCCCATTCTAGAAGCATGCCTTACCCACAGATGTCTCTGCCTTCAGGCAGCTCCCCATGGAAATGTGCTGTCCTCATTGCAAGTCTGTATTGTGGGAATGGGCACTCGGGTGGGCTGACAGCTAACTGTGTGGACCTGCAGCCCTCCATTCTTCATTATAACTGACTTGCCTGCTGCACCCTCTAACAAGAGTCTTGCATTCTCAGACAATGTGAAGATCACTCTCAACATAGGGTATCCAAGCGCTCCCCACCCGCCAACTTCCCAACTTTTTTTTTTCTTTTGGTACTGAGAATCAAAATTCAGGACCTTGTACTTACCAGGTAGGTGCTATGCCACTGAACTATATCCCCAGCCCTCTGCTTCCCAATTTTAGCTGTACATTACATCATGAAATTAAATAGTGGCAGGAAGTAATTCCTCTGATCATTTTAAGGTGTCCTGGTTCTAATCCCTTTCTGTGGCTTGGAAAAGATGAAATGTAGTTTCCCATAAGTGGCCACCGTCTCCCAGGTTATTTGGGAAGGGTGAGGGGTGGAGACGGGGCAAGGGAGAACTAACCTTGAATTTGTCCCCCAGGAGTTTGTGGACAATCTCTTCCTCTTCATTGGCCGTTTTGTTACAGAACTGGGAGAAAAGCCTGATCCAACGGTCCTTATCCTTGGCCTGTAGAAGACAAATGTACTTAAGGATCTTGGACACACCTACCTCCTTAATGGCACCCCCATCCATGTGGGATAGACAGTCTCTTTCTAAAGTCCCTGCCTTCAGAGAACCATCACCTCACATGGGCTTCCCTGCCTCTGCCTGAGACTGACACCCTATACTGCCCACACTCAACCATGGCTCCTGCAGGGGCCAAACTAACCAATTCAAAACACTTGGAAAACAGGAAACTAGGCTAAGGATCCACAATATGAAATAGAAGAGGGTTAGAATAGCTTTTATCACTCTATGTGAGAGAAAGAATCTGGAAAAAGTGGTGCTTATAAATCAAATGCTGCAAGACACATCTTCCTATAAGATTTACTTGCAAAATGAACCCTGGCTCCCCATACCCTTTTTATTTAGCTAAGATTGTACACAGCTAGCATCTTTCCTTTGGGAAGCCCAGAAGTAACTGTGCATCTAAGCCAGGGCTCCGATATGAGACAAGACCCATGGCTGAGTGTGCCAGTCATCTTCCCTGGAAGAGTCAGGTGGTCTTACTTGCTTCACTGTGGCCACCATTCGGGCCATGAGCATGATGCTTGCAGTCTCAGGTGGGTAGTGAATACTCCTAGGGAAAGAAAAAAAGAGCAGTTTGGCCTTGAAATTCCCTCCTTAATAGCTGAGCTCTAGGAAGCCCAGTCTGAATGCTACAGAAAAACTCTACCACTTTCCATCAACTACCAAAAGAGGCAGGACTTGGGCAGCACTTAGGTAGATTTTGCATCTGTATGGGCTCTTTCTGGAAACTGTAAAGCACAGAAGATGGTGGAACTGGTGGCCCAGATTTAAGGTAGAGAATTGGTTGATATGTCTTCTATTTAGCCCTAAGAATGAAAGAAATATCTGCAGGATGGTAATAAGAAAGTTGGCAACATATGCTAAGCCTAGGCAGGTACGCCAGGAGGGAAAGATAAAGAGAAGAGGAAGAAACCTACCTCCATGCCTCCTGCAGCTTATTAAGAGGATGCAGGGGGTCATCCTGAGAGGGGCCTGGGCACAGGACCCGGTGGTATTGCTCCGCAGCTGCCAGCCGACATTCTGCACTGCAGTACATCACCTGTTTGGTGAGACAAAGGTCAATGCCCTAGAATCTGGCCATGGGGTGAAGAGAGCAACTCACAGACATCCCATGAAGCACTCGCCTACCCTAACTGCATTTCTTCCCCCAACAGCCTCTGAGCAAGAGCCCAGGAATCATGCGGTAAAAAAACAGGATGCTCTGAAGGCATGTGGGAAGAGTACCTAACCTAGACTAGTTACAATCATAGAAAAAAGAGAAATTTTCAGGTAGAGAGGAGAGTCCCTGCCCCAAGAAGAAGGCAAGCTCCCACGAAGCCCCTTTACTAGACAACAGAACTGGAACAAGAAGGACGGAACAAACAATTTCTGAGTCCTTTCAATGTTATACCCCACCCCCCAATCAGGGTTCTTGAGGGTTATAACCAGCCCTGTCTGGGCCCTTGTTCCTCAGTGAGAACTTCAACTAAGGCCTTCCTCATCTATCCCCTTTCAAGTGCATTCCCCTGAGATGCTCACCTGGCAGTGGGGACAGTTCTGGTGGAGGTCCTTGCGCACAGTACATAGCTCTGGGTGAGGGAGAACCTGGCCTGGTTTCCCAGTCAGCCTCTGGGCATTTTCCTCTGCCTTTTCCAGAGCCCGGAGGCAGTGGTCACAGGCTAAGGGTGAAAGCCAGACACAATGTAACTGTCCCAAGAGCTAGGCCTCATCTCCTTTCACACTACTATTTCCCCCTCCACCCCTCCAACTAGAATGGTGCCTGGCACAAAACAGGTGCTCCATACAAGTCTGGAGCATGAATGACTACTTTAATGATGTGAATGAATGAGTTTCACATGCATCCAAAAACAAATGACCCCTCCTCCTCTCGAGAACTCCCTGGCACCTCTTTCTAACTCCTCCTGCTTCTCAATCAGACTCAGACTGTGGGGCTCTGAGTTCTGCCTGAGAGGCAGTCCTCCCCTAGGAATCACGTCAGAGGAGCCTGTTAACTGCAAAAACACTGCCCCTAACACCAGAGAGTGGACAGAGGTATGATTCTCAGGCAGCTCTGCAGTGGCTCCAAACACCCAGAGTACCAGAGACATCAGTTAGTACAGTGTATGCAGTTGTCTTTTATACACAAAAGTGACAGGGCTCAGCAGCCATGAGGAATAGATGAGATGTGCTCACCTCGGTAGCGATAAAGTGCATTCCAGAGAAACTGTGCAGCCACCAGGGGCCTTTCCACGAAGATCGTTTCTCCCTTCCGGATCAGTTGTGTGGCAAACAGTCCCTTTCCCTAAACAGAGAGAGAAAACAAAAAGAATGGGATGGCCATAAGAAGGGTCAGAAGACAGACCTCCAAGAGCTCCTGGAAGGCCACCAAGACTCACACTCACAGGCCTTCCTCCTAGCAGATGCCTAAGAGTTCAGAGTGAATGCTCTGCAACCTGATAACTTCCTGCCCTAGAAAGTGGCTCTGACCTCCTTTCAGATGCACTTTTCCACCCATTTGGAGCCTGGCAGCGGAAGGAGCTGCAACAGCAACTGTGTGTCAGACCATTCAGAGAATTCTTAACATGGCTAAAATAGAGCTTAACACCCCAGCAGATTGAGGCCTCCTGTAGCAGGAGCTACTAATGACAATGACAGAGCAGCCCTCTATGCCCAATCCCAACCCTTACAACCCTCCAAGTTCCCAGCAATAGTGCTGCTGCTCAGAGTTGCAGAGAAATCCTATACCTGTGGGGAAGTAAGCTTAGTTTGGAGAAAAGCCTCTTTCCTTGATCAGCAAGTTACAGCATCTATGGTAGCATAGCACCTGGCAACCAAACAAGTTTGTGAAGTGTTACGGCTTGTGTTTGGATGGCCCCCAAGCCTCACAGATATAGAGACAGCTGAGACTAGTGTTTGTGATTGGTTTGTTGTCTAGTGCCGGGAAGGGTGGTGTGAGTGCTGCACCTGCCCAGGGGTGGGTTGCCAGTACACAATAAGAGGGAGGGAAACAGGCATGCTTTTTCCCTTTTCCCCTTTTTGCTCTTGTCACTTGTGGCCTCCATGAATGGTTGCCCATTTGCTATGTCACCCTGCCTTGAAGCCAGCTGAGTATGGACTGAAACCTCCAAAAACTGTAAGCTAAATAAACTTTTCCTTCCTTCATTTTGTGTGTCAAGTATTTGTCTCAGCAATGACAGAAAAGTTACCAAGGCAGTATTTGGTACCAGTGGAATGGGGTCATTGCTGTGACTGTACCTGACCTGTGGTTCAAGAGCTTTGGTAATGGCTTGTGGGAAGAGTCTGGAAAGGTTCAGACATGTCACCTGAAAGAGTAGTGCTGGAACACCATAGGCTGTTCTGTATGGGAGACCAGAAGGCTGACAGAAAGCCTGCCAGACTAGACTCAGGAGGTTTCTGCTGGGAAGAAGAATTACATTGGCTGCTGGACTCCAGAAGATGTGTGTTATGACTTGGCAGAAAGTTTGTCTGCATTTTGCTTGTGTCTAGAGACTTTGCCTGAGACTAAGATTAAGGATGGACTGATTATTCTGGTAGAAGAAATTTCAAAGCAATCAAATGTTGAGATGGTAGCATGGCTATTACTGGGAGCTTTTAGCTAGATTTATGTTGCAAATCAAGAGCAAAGAGCACAGCAGGGTGACTTAAAACATTGTGAGTTTGAACAGAAAGGAAACTCCAGTAAAGGTATGGACTACAAATATAGAGCTGAGATCTCAATTGCTGAGAAGAACAGGAGAATAGAAAAGATGCCCTGCAGGCATCACAGGAAAAGGCAGCAGGTCTCCACCCTTTGCTGCCTCAAAACTACAAAAGTGAAAGACCTTGCTTGGAGGAGAAAGTTTCAGAGCACCATGTTCCAGAATGGTGGTAATGGCCACATAGGCTTCCAAAATGGTGGTGGCCACACTAGGCTCCAGAATGGAGTTGGCATAGAAAATCTGTTCCTCACAATCAGGTTCAGAGTGTCCAGTGATCCAGGCTCTTTGTCCCTACAGCCAACAGAGAGGAAAACCTGGCTACTGCTTCAGCTAGCAGCAGACCTTGGGCACAAGTTCTGAGGTTAAAAGGGCTTCCACCTCATTTCAGAGGGCATAGGAGGCCAGGCAGTGTGCCCAAAGAGGGCAATGTGTAAAGCTGTGAGTGTGAAGCCAAAGGTGCAACGGAGAACTCAGAAGTTTGAAAAAGCCAGGAGTTGGGGCTAGAGATTTAGCTCAGCGGCATAAGCGCCTGCCTTGCAAGCAGGCAGTCGTGAGTTTGATCCCTGGTACCGATAAAAACGAAAAAGACCAAAAAAAAAAAAAAAAAAAAGAAAAAGCCAGGAGTGTGGATCATCTAAGGAAACCTGGAAGAAGGGAACATAGCAGGCCTAAGAGAGAAGTCCTGGGAGCCATAACCACCAGAAGTGATGTAAGGATGGTCACTCAAACCTTGCAGCTCACAACCAGACTGCTTCAGATGCAGAGTGTGAACTCCAGGACTTAATGTTTACCCTTCTGGATATTGGACTTGTGTTGATTCCAATTCTTTGTATCCTGTTTGTACATTTTGAATGGTAATATTTATCTTGTGCCATTTATGTTGGAAATATTTAGCTTTGTTTTCATTTGTATGAGGGGTTACTGCTGTGAGTTTGCCTTAGATCTTGCAGGAGACTTGGAACTTAAACTGATACTGTTGGAGTTTGGTAACTCTAGCAGATGGACTACATATATTTTGTATAAAGGATGTGCATGAGTCTTTGGTGGGGCCAGAAGTGGAACATTATGGCTTGTGTTTGGATGGCTCCCCATGCTTCATAGTTATAGAGGCGGCTGAGACTAGTGTTTGTGATTGGTTTGTTGTCTAATGCTGGGACTGGCAGTGTGAGTGCTGCATCCATCGCGGTGAGTAGCCAGCACACAATATAACGGAGGGAAATAGGGATGCTTCTTCCTTTTTGCTCTTGTCACTTGTGGCTTCCATGAATGGCTCTCCTTAGTCATGTCACCCTGCCTTAGAGCCAGCTGAATATGGACTTAGACCTCCCAAAACTATAAACTAAATAAACCTTTCCTTCCTTCATTTTGGGCGTCAACTACTTTGTCTCAGCAGGAGAGAAAAGTAACCAAGAAAAAGAGTTGCAATAAAATTAATGAGCTAATCCTCGCACCAGCCTTAATGTTAATTTTCTGTGAACCTGTGAGCCAAATGAGTCACTTCTTTACACCATTTCCCATATGAGAAGTATGATAACACCTAATAGGTAGTTTCCAAGATTCAGTGATATAGCACAGGCATCTCATGAGCTCTAGCTCCTTACTACTCAGTTTGAGGTACATGACTAGCAACAGCAGTTATCACTTGGGATATTTGCATCTTAGGCCCTACTCCAGACCAGCTGAACCAGAATCTGGATCTTACCAGGCTTCTCAGAAGCTTCCTATACATGTTAAAGTTTAAGAAGCACTGGTCTAACTCACCCTCTCTCTTCTCTCTCATATATATAACACTGTGTACATCATGATGAACAATGAGTAAACAGTCTCTGAACTGCCCCGTCTCAACTGTGCCAGACTCAAGAGTCAGCTTCAGGACCCATGCAGTTACTGGCCCTGCTGGCACTTGATCCCCCTGCTCACTTAGGGAAGACAGCAGTGCCCCTAACAATACTGAGCTGCCAAAACAAAGGGCAAAAAGAAAATTGCTTAACACAGCAGTAAAAACGCCCTGTCACTATGACTTTCTCAAGTACTGTCTTTTTAGCACTGGTACTCTGGCAAGATGGGGCCCCTTGCAAACCTAGAGCAGAAAACCTAAATGTATAGACCAGGATAGGCCCTAAGCAACCCAGGAGTCACAAAAATCTGAATTCTGTGAACAACACTAACAGGAGAATGGGACAGGTGAACAAAGCCAGCAAAGCCACAAATGCACCTTGACTGATTTCCTGGAAGCCCAACCCCCACATTTTGTGGTCTCTGAAATCCAAACTGGCAAAATGAAATTTTCAAATCTCAGTACTGGATAAATACATAAATATCCTTCTTCCTCTTCTGGAGGGCCAAATTGAGAAAATACTTAGTAATCAAAATCAAAAAGGGAGCAGGGTGTGGTGGCACACTCCTGTAATCTCAGCACTTTGGGGACTGAGACAGGAGAATCATTGTAACTCAAGACCACCCTGGGCTACAAAGTGAACCCAAGGCCAGCCTGAACTGCACAGTGAGACCCTATCTCAAAAAGAAAAAAAAAATCAAAAAGGGAAAAATGGGGTGGGGGGTGAAACATACATCAGTACTAAGGGAAAAAAATTCAGGAAAAGAATCAGAGTTGTTCCTTTTATACATCCACTCATCCCCAAAACATTCATGTCAAGAAGTGTGACTGGGTGTGATGGTGCGTGCCATTTATCCCAGGACTTGAGTTCCAGGTCAGCCTGGGCTACAAGCAATATTCTGTGATTAAAAAAAAAAAAAAAAAAATCAGGGAAGAGCACTGACAGGAGAAAAACTATTCTTCTACTTTGAAAGAAACTTTTTAAAAATTACACAAAACTCTAAGCCATGTAGTAATCCCCGGTGTGGCACTGGGGATTGAACCCTGCTCCTTCACACTGAGCTACATCCCCAGCCTTTTATTTTTTATTCTGATAACAGGTCTGTTATGGTTGATACATTGTGTCAACTTGAAAATTCTAGAAGCTTAACTAGGTGGTTCAGTGGTTCTACATCCTGGGTGTAGAGGATAAGCCATTATTGTTCTAAGATGTTGACTGTCAATTTGAGAAGATCAGAAATTTAACTAAGTGATTCAGCAGGGGACCAGGGTCCTTACTTTATAACATCCTCAGCCTGTGCAAGAGGATGGCAAGCAGATGGCATGAGTGCTATACCCACCCAAGGAGAATAGCCTACTTACAATATAAGGGAGGAAATGAGGCTTGCTCTCCCTGCTTCTGGTTCTTGTTTTGCTGTCTTTTGCCCTCTGGAAGTACTGCCCCTGTGCCATGCCATTCTGCCTTGGAGCCAGCTGATTACATACTGAAACTTCCACAAACTGTGAGCTAAATAAACTTTTCCTTCTTTAATTTTGGGCATCAGGTATTTTGTCACAGCAACAAGAGAAAAGGTAACGAACACAGAATTTGGTATTGGGAGTGGGACCATTGCTATGACTATACCTCACTATGTAGTTCAACAGCCTTTGGGAATAGCTTTATGGGGAGAGTCTGGAAAGATTCAGAGACGGTGCCTGAAAGAGTAGCACTGCAACACCATAGGCTGTTCAATATGGGAGGTTCTG